AACAAACAGCAAAAAGCTAAGGCAAAACGCTGCCTTTAGCAGCGTTTACAGTTTTGGCGGTTTGAGCTGATCAGCTAACTTAAAAAGCTGTTTTACCAAACACCAAAAAAAAGCAAAATTAGCTTTTTTCAATCCGGTCAAACCGCTAAAATAGCGTTTTTGGCTAAAAAGCTGAAAAACAAACATAGCCTATAGACAGAGGTGAGCAAGTTATACAACTCACTAGGGCGAAACTAGACCGGATAATCACGGAGGCAATTGATAGGTCACAGAGTTCCCAACCTAATTTGGTGGCGCAGCGGTGGTGGAACAACCCAACTTGGTGGTGGAGCTGGAGCAGCACAATCCAGTGACCTAATCCGGTGGTATTATAAATTAAATATATAATATCCAAACACCATCTAAACTAAAATGCCTAAGTTTAACCTCCAAAGGAAAATGTAGTACCACTACGAGATGACTTGGCATACTTATATTGGATGAACACACCACTACCAGATGACTTGGCATACTCGCGTATACTCACTTCAAGTCTTGAATCAGTTGACCGACGCAAACAAAGGAAGACTTCAAAGGAGGATAAATTCATCACTGTCAAGAGGGAAGACTCATCTGAGTCACTCGAAAGCTTCACAATCCCAACAATGGCTGCAGCAATTTTCTCTCTCTTAATCTTCTGCATCTCTCTGCTCATATCGCCATCCTCTTCATCACCGATTTCCGGCCTTCAGATCCTCCAAGCCGAGCGTCAGGTGAAACTCCCCTTTTCCCGATCATATTTCCATTTTTGTTACCTCGAACGTTGTCCATGTCTGATTTTTGTCTTTCGACATTTTCATGTATATGTGTTTTCTGGGTAAGGGTTTCTTTTTCCCTGACTTGTGAATTTTGGTGTGGTGCAGATCGATTTGACTTCGCACATTGTTCGAGTTTACATGACATTGAAGGTATTCCTCCTTTTTCTTAGTTTTTTTTGGGAGGTTCTTACTTGAAATTGTTTAGCGAAGACGAAAATTTGCTTACTGGGAAGACATAGTTTTGATGTTCATCATATTTTGCTTGTTCTGTAAAATGGACTGATTGTGATCGACCCATTTATTTCAAGTTGGAATTCTGGATTTCCTTTTTGTTGTGCATTGACAATGTTTCCGTTGTTTAATGACTGAACCAGACATTCCACATGGCAAGAGGTTGTTGATTGTGATGGATAACTTGTATGAAGTTCTCGGTTTCAGTTCTTACATTTCGAGTTTTCTCTTTGGGAAATCGAAGCATTTCAAATTCCACTGATATGCCTTGCAATCATTTCGGCCTATTATCGTTCATTCCTAAGCTTCAATTGTGTTTAGTGACTTTGGATTCAGAATCAGGGTAAAAATATGTGATAAATGCATGTAACAATTGAAATTTATTGATGAAGGATCGAGGCTCACTTGTATTAGAAGATAATTGATTGGATGATAGCAATTCTGTTCCAACATTATTTCTTGCATTTCTATTTCTGTTCTATTTTATCTGCAGAATTCTTGAATATGTGATTAAGTGGTCCATTTCCATACCATAGGTCGAAAATATCGGTGACGATCCAGCTTCAAAGGTTCTCCTAGCCTTCCCGCCTTCACAGTTTGACCATCTTTCATTGGTCAAAGCAGCTACAAATGTCGGGAAGAAGCGGAAGAAATCCTTTGTTCCTCTCGAAGTCAACCCGGCTGAGCAAAGTCAACCCGACTCGCCAAACGGAACAAAATACTATGCTATCTCATTGCTCAACTCGCTACCAAAGGGTGAAACCACCACTTTAGAAATACTTTACGTCCTGACTCACTCTCTTGATCCCTTCCCGGTCGAAATAAGCCAATCGGAGTCCCAGTTGGTTTATTACCGTGATAGTGCCATTATACTATCACCTTATAATATAAAACAGCAGGCAACTGTGGTTAAAACCCCCACTAGTAAAGTTGAGTCCTTCACTCAAGTGGGACCCACTCACCAGAGTGGTAGTGAGCTTAGATACGGGCCATATGAGAGTCGCGAGCCTTATTCGTACTCGCCCATTATTGTTCACTTCGAGAATAATCATCCGTTTGCTGTTGTTGAGGAGCTAGAGCGCGAGATTGAAATCTCTCACTGGGGAAGTGTCCAGGTGACAGAGCACTACAAGTTGGCTAACGCTGGAGCTAAGCATAAAGGATTCTCAAGGTTGGATTAATTGACAGAAAGATTCGGTTCCAAACTTTCAATTGCATAGGTCTTTGGATTTACTATCTGTTTTTACATGGAAAAACTGAGCAGGAAACATATTCTTTCAAGTTGTTTATCAAATTTAGTTGATAGCATCATTATAAACATAAATCCAAAGGTAACAGAATGCTTTTTTTTTTCCTCTTTTTCCATGTGTTATTGGGGTTGATGCTCTAACCAATGTGAGTTTCAAAATTTACAGATTAGTGGAAATCAGTTATTTTTTGCGCGATTTTTTTACCAAATTTTCGTTTCCTTTTAACTAAAGTTCTTTCTTTCTTTATTTTCTTGCTTTTCTTTGTCCCCAAAGCTGCAAATGGACACAAGAAACTTAGAAAAATGTACTATTTGTTCAATCAGTTTCTCTCGTCAAACGTATCAATGCAATTTTTAAGATAAAGGAAATCATTGTAGCACATTTCCTGTAATACTCTCAATCACATATATTAACTACCAATTATTTTTTTTTAATTCTTTTATATCACATCTACTTTATCGATCATTTTACTTCCTCTGTCCAAATTTTTTCATCATTACTCTCTAGTGGATTTT